CCTTCCCTTCCTCCCTCCCTCCCTCCCACTTTTCACCCTGTGTTCTAGCTGTATTGGATTTCTTTGTCTGGCCCTCCCTCTTCTGGATATTGTCACTGCACTCAGCCGAGATCATGCAGTGACACAGCCGAGATCGTGTCACTGCACTCCAGAGCGAAACTCCGTCTCAAAAAAAAACGTTACCAGATCTATCTCATTTAACCATTTTATATTAGAGCAAGAGTTGGGAAACTAAGGCCTGCTGGCTGTTTTTGCATATAAAATTTTCTCGAAACAGGATCTCACTATTGCCTGTTTTGGAGTGTAGTGGTGCCATCTTAGCTTACTTCAACTTCGACCTCTCAGGCTTAAGTGATCCTCCCACTTCAGCCTCCCAAGTAGCTTGAACTACAGGCACAGACCACCATGCCCGGCTAATTTTTTTTTTTTTTGGGTTGGAGTCTTGCTCTCACCCAGGCTGGAGTGCAGTGGCACGATCTTGGCTCACTGCAAGCTCCGCCTCCTGGGTTCACGCCATTCTCCTGCCTCAGCCTCCCGAGTAGCTGGGACCACAGGCGCCCGCCACCACGCCCAGCTAATTTTTTGTATTTTTAGTAGAGACGGGGTTTCACCGTATTAGCCAGGATGGTCTCGATCTCCTGACCTCGTGATCCACCCGCCTTGGCCTCCCAAAGTGCTGGGATTACAGGCATGAGCCATCGCGCCCGACTCGGCTAATTTTTAAATTTTTTTTTGTAGAGACAGGGTCCTGCTATGTTACCCAGGCTGGTCTTGAACTGCTAAGCTCAAGCAGCCCTGTCACCTCGGCCTCCCAAAGTGCTGGGATTACAGGGATGAGCCATCATGCCTGGCCACATATTCTTTTATGGATTGTCTGTGGTTGCTTTTACAAGAGGGATTATATGGCCTGTAATACCTAGACATTTACTGTCTGACTCTTGACAGAAAACGGCTGTCAACCCTTGGATTAGAACATTTTAAAAAATTATTTCATTATTTGATTTCTTCCTCTGAACTTCAAATGGGGCATAATCTTTAACTTTGTTGATGACTGTACTATAACGGTTGCTGTTTTGTTACTGTATGGGGATGCTGATGGAGCTTATGTAGAAGTTTTTTTCTTCTAGATTTGCTTTTTACTCACTGTAAAGCTTTTATGTCTTATATCTGCCTGCCACCCACAAGTGGATCCTTACCCTTTGCTCTGAATGTGTGGTTTATGACCCTCTATGAGCAAAGGAATGAGATTACTAGGCTTTTCAGAATTAATGTTTAAAGAGTAAGAGGTTCAGAGGGAGGCCCTGCAGGGTGAGTGAAGAACAGCCACTATTTGTGTGTAAGAAAGTAAGACATCCAGCTTGACTATTTAGAGGCCTTCTAGGTGGATCCTTGTCTGTTCAGTTAGCCGAGATCATTGACTGAAGAAAAGGCTTGGGATAAATGTGGTGCTGCTGTATCAGCCTATATCATGTACTGTTGCATAAGTGAAATTATACAAATGGACAATGGCTATGCTCAAGTTTTCAAACTTTTCATCTCATTCTGAGTTTAATGCTCTGATAGTATTCAGGTAGAAAGTCAACTCCAATTCCTTGTGGACATTCACCTTTACACTTTAACATCCTGAACCCTGGCTTTCTGCCAAAATATTTTCTTTCCCAGTGCCTGGAAACTGATTAGCTAGATGGGAGAACAAAGGTGGCTTTGTACTGGGGCATATTGCTTTTGAGAATTTAGCAGAGAGCATTCAGATGGAGTCTGGATGTGATGCCAAATTATGCAGATTTGGGGTTTTTTTGGTTAGGTTTCCCATGAGTAGGTATGTAGGCAACTTAATATTGTTCTCAGTTTGTACGGTCTGGAATTTCCCTTATAAATGTTATGTAGGCTTTCCTTATTGATTGTTTTAAAACAGAAATGTGTATGATTTTGAGAAAACACATTACCAGAAGACTATTCTTGATAGGTTTTTTTGCCAAAAAGATTGTTGTACCAATGAATTTATATCCAAAGCCATATTATAAATACATTTCTGTCTCTGTAAGAGCCCAGTGCAAATACTTTATAAATGATGCCAAGTGTCCACAAGGGGGAAAAAATGCCAAAAAAATAGGGTACCCCTAACCTTATATATTTATCTGAAACCAGGTTTTGAAAAGTGTTCACGCAGCATCAGAAAAGAATACTAAAGCTCCCTGTGCTCTGACATAATTGATACTTGGCATTCATTATTGTGACTTGGAAGATACTAGTCTAGTAAGAAAACCTGGACTCTAGTTCTTTCTCTATAACTTAACGTTGTACCCTTAATTTCTTGGTTATAAAGTGAAGATGATAATAGTTTAGCAATGAGGGGGTTCAGGATTAAGCAAGAGAATATGAATTGAAGCACTATACAAATGCAAGATGGTGAGATTGGTGTTTTCTGTGGCAGCAGTTGAGACTAGGATTTTCAACTATTTCTTTTATGGAGGAGGGAAGCCATTTATTTTTTGTTTGTTTGTTTGTTTCTTTTTTTCTTTTTTTCTTTTTTTTTTTTTTGCCTAGCCCCTAGAAAACCAGGGAGAGGCATTATTGAAGTTTTTTTTTTTTTAATTCATGTAAATTTCACTTTTTAGTTTATCCTCGTTGTAGTTATTTTTAAAAATACTATTTTAACTTTTGTTTCTGCTGTTAGTTTCATTTTCCCTTTTACCTCTCATTCTCTGATGAAATGTTTTGTTTATAGACTATCTTCCTTCAGCCATATAAATTTAACCATATCTGGTGTTAGGTGTCTGTTTTCCCTTTTAGTTTATTGTTTAATTAGGTGGCAGTATTTAAAGATGGGAAGATTTTGCCTAAAAGCAAGACTTTCTGGCATGAAGAAAATCTGCCAGGAACTGAGAAGCAGCTATGCCATCTAAATGAGGCAGGAGCTCTCCAGTTTGCCAGAGTCCTACTACTTCCTATTGTCTGTGTCACCACCACTGAGGACAAAATATCATTGCACTTTATGCATAGTTTTTCACGCAGTAAAGAAAAAAGTTAAAACTCTACCTTTGCTTCTTTCAAAATGAACATGAGAGATCAAGAATTCCTGCTGGGCAAGTGGCTCACGCCTGTAATCCCAGCACTTTGGGAAGCTGAGGCAGGTGGATCATCTGAGGTCAGGAGTTCAATCAAGACCAACCTGGCCAACATGGTGAAACCCCATCTCTACTGAAAATACAAAAATTAGCTGGGCATGGTGGCACATGCCTGTAATCCCAGCCACTTGGGAGGCTAAGGCAGGAGAATCGCCTGAACCTGGGAGGCGGAGGTTGCAGTGAGCTGAGATCATGCCTCTGTACTCCAGCCAGGATGACAGAGCGAGACTCTGTCTCAAACAATAGCAACAAAAAAGAACTCCCCCAGAAAACTGAGGGAGAGTGTTTATCAGCAAAAGACCAAAATTCCTAAGTGTGTGTTTGATATGCACCAGCATCAATTACATTATCTGCCCACTCAGCCTCTGATATTGGTTTACGATTTTACTCTCTTGATTTACTTTGAGAATCAGATATCCCATTTCAAGTCTTTGAGTTGCATATGATAAACATGTAAATTGCAGGCGTGTTTTTGTTTTGTCACCCAGGCTGGAGTGCGGTGATCATAGTGCACTGTAGACCTGAATCCTGGAGTGAAGCCATCCTCCCATCTCAGTCTCCCAAGTAGCTGGGACTACAGGCAGACGCTACCACACCTGGCTAATTTTTTTTTACTTTTTGTAAAGACAGGGTCTCACGCTGTTGCCCAGGCTGGGCTCAAGTGATCCACCCACCATGGCCTCCCAGAGAAGTACTGGGATTGTAGGCGTGAGGCATCGCGCCCAACCACATTACAAGGTTTTTAAACAAATGAAGGAAAAATGTATTTTAAGAAGCTGATTTGACCAGGCGCGGTGGCTCAAGCCTGTAATCCCAGCACTTTGGGAGGCCAAGATGGGCGGATCACGAGGTCAGGAGATCGAGACCATCCTGGCTAACACGGTGAAACCCCGTCTCTACTAAAAAATACAAAAAACTAGCTGGGCGAGGTGGCGGGCACCTGTAGTCCCAGCTACTCGGGAGGCTGAGGCAGGAGAATGGCGTGAACCTGGGAAGTGGAGCTTGCAGTGAGCTGAGATCTGGCCACTGCACTCCAGCCCGGGCGACAGAGCAAGACTCCGTCTCAAAAAAAAAAAAAGAAGCTGGTTTAAAATCATGTTTTAAGGCCAGACACAGTAGCTCTCACCTGTACTCCTAGCACATTGAGAGGCTGAGGCGAGAGGATCTCCTGAGGCCAGGAGTTCAAAACCAGCCTGGGCAACACAGCAAGACGCTATTCAAAAAAAAAGAAAAATACATATATATTTAATGATGTTTAAGAATATGTAAGATCTGGCTAGGTGCAGTGGCTCACGCCTGTAATTCCAGCACTTCGGGAGGCCGAGGTGGGCGGATCATGAGGTCAGGAGATCGAGACCATCCTGGCTAACATGGTGAAACCCTGTCTATACTAAAAATACAAAAAAAATTAGCCAGGCCTGGTAGCACACACCTGTAGTTCCAGCTACTCGGGAGGGTGAGGCAGGAGAATTGCTTGAACCCAGGAGGCAGAGGTTGCTGTGAGCCAAGGTCACGCCACTGCACTCAGCCTGGGCGACAGAGCGAGACCATCTCAAAGAAAAAAAGCATATGTAAGATCTATCATAATTTCATTTGCCATATTTAATGTTTAATAGTGATTGAGCTCTATCAAATTTAACTTCAACATTGGTTTATTGTGTGATGTGTATTTGAGATGGCCACCTAGTGGTTTTTTCTGGTATGGCATTTTACTACTGTACTAGATTATGATCTGATTAGCAAATAAGCTTATTAGCTAGTTTGTTTATATACCAAATATATTTTGAGTTATCCTTTCTGTACAGATTCTGCCGCAAGTAAATAGATATTTTTACAGCATTTCTATAATTATTTTGTTTTATTTTTAAACAGAAGAAGCAGACTACAGTGCCTTTGGTACAGACACGCTAATAAAGAAGAAGAATGTTTTAACCAACGTATTGCGTCCTGACAACCATAGAAAAAAGCCACATATAGTCATTAGTATGCCCCAAGACTTTAGACCTGTGTCTTCTATTATAGACGTGGATATTCTTCCAGAAACACATCGTAGGGTACGTCTTTACAAATATGGCACTGAGAAACCCCTAGGATTCTACATCCGGGATGGCTCCAGTGTCAGGGTAACACCACATGGCTTAGAAAAGGTTCCAGGGATCTTTATATCCAGGCTTGTCCCAGGAGGTCTGGCTCAAAGTACAGGACTATTAGCTGTTAATGATGAAGTTTTAGAAGTTAATGGCATAGAAGTTTCAGGGAAGAGCCTTGATCAAGTAACAGACATGATGATTGCAAATAGCCGTAACCTCATCATAACAGTGAGACCGGCAAACCAGAGGAATAATGTTGTGAGGAACAGTCGGACTTCTGGCAGTTCTGGCCAGTCTACCGATAACAGCCTTCTTGGCTCCCCACAGCACATTGAACCAAGCTGTGAGCCAGAGGATGAAGACAGCGATGAAGATGACATTATCATTGAAGACAATGGAGTGCCACAGCAGATTCCAAAAGCTGTTCCTAATACCGAGAGCCTGGAGTCATTAACACAGATAGAGCTAAGCTTTGAGTCCGGACAGAATGGCTTTATTCCTTCTAATGAAGTGAGCTTAGCACCCATAGCAAGTGGCTCAAACACGGAATTTGAAACACATGCTCCAGATCAAAAACTCTTAGAAGAAGATGGAACAATCATAACATTATGAAACCATTGTTTGAATGTTTTCAGAGTGAGGATGCCATGAGAACTTGTATATTTGGCTAGTTTAAAAGCATATATACCTCTGACCAGTGACGTGGAATAGGCATGAGATGAGTAACGTTGCAAGCTTACAATATTATTAAAGTAGTAGTCTGATAATTGTTAATATAAACTTTGGTGGATCAGAGGTGAATTTAAGTCCAAAACAAAGGGGCCTTTGCTGATGAAGTTACGTGCTTTTACTTTTTTGTCTGTGGAGAATCAGATGTTAAAGCACATTCTTGGAACTATGCGAGAAGACTAGATCATTTCTGTTGGAAGTGGTTGCATATTTAACCTGCTGTGCAGAGCCCAGTTAATTTTTCCTTTAACTGTATTTTTAAAATTCTAATGTGAAGTCTGATTATCTCTTTTGGTACACTGGGGACCTCAGCTCTTAAAGGTCTTATGTTCCCAATATTTTATTTTATTTTTTATTTTTTATTTTTTTAGTGACTGGATCTCACTCTGTTGCCCAAGCTGGAGTACAGTGGCATGATCACAGCTCACTGCAGCCTCAACCTCCTGGGCTCAAGCAATCCTCCCACCTCAGCCTCCTGAGTAGCTGGGACCACAGGCACGTACCACGACACCTGGCTACTTTTTGTATTTTTTGTAGAGACAGAGTTTTGCCATGTTGCCCAAGCTGGTCTTGAACTCCTGGGCTCAAGCAGTCCTGCCTCGGCTTCCCAAAGTGCTAGGATTACAGCCACCATGCCCAGCCTATTTTGATTTTTGTTTTTTTAATGTTCCTCTCTAATAAATTGTAACAAATGATGTTCTCAAGTGCATTTCCAGTTTCTAAGAATCAAACCACTTGGCTGTTTTTAGGAGTTGCTTCCCATGTTATAAAGCTCAGGAAGCTCTCTCTCTCTCTTTTTTTTTTTTTTTTTTTTTGTCTCTGTTGCCCAGGCTGGAGTGCAGTGGTGCAATCTCAGCTCCCAGATTCAAGCAGTTCTTCTGCCTCAGCCTCCTGAGTAACTGAGATTACAGGTGTGTGCCAACACGTCCGGCTTATTTTTTTGTATTTTTAGTAGAGACGGGGTTTCACCATGTTAGTCAGGCGGATCTCGAATTCCTGACCTCAAATGATCTGCCCATCTCGGCCGCCCAAAGTGCTGGATTGCAGGCATGAGCCACCGTGCCCGGCCAGGAAGCTGTCTTTTCTTGAGTTATGAAACTCTGCAACAGTTGTTCAAGTTGGTGTTTGTCCTTCCTATAGCTTTCATATTTGCAAATTAATTCTGTATGGCTATAATTTATGTTTTAAAAGGCAGTTCTCTTGACTTTGGAAACATGGAAGTCTCTCCTTTAACCTGTTCTTGTTCCCATTCCCAGTCTCATTTGAAATCATTCGTTTTGTTGTTAGTGTGTGTATTTTTGTTGGTGTGCTTTTAATGCATTCAAGTATGCATCATTTTGGATAAAAAATGCATCCAAATTAAGAGGTTTTAACACATAGGACAAACTTGTGCACTTTTTATACCAAAAAAAAAAAAAAAAAAAAATTGGGTTTTCCTTCATGGGATTTCTAGAAACACTGCCTACACTTTATGAAAACTACATAGTATTCACCTGTGACAGGTAGAGTTTATCACTGTTAATTTTATGAGGCTATTTATTACTTTCCAGTGCATCCACTTAGAACAAGCTAAGAGTAAGGCTGCTAACTTTAATTCCTTGCCTGATTTTATTGTACAATGTGCACAAGCACAATGGTATGCTTGTATATAGAAACTAAAAATATTATGAAGTACATAAGTTCCCTATGGCTTATGGAGAGTTATTTATTAATTAACTTTATGGTAGGGCTAGTATGAATATCTTTTTAACAATTGTGTGCTATTAAAACAATGAAGATTCAAATGACTCCGTTTTGAAGGATGTTTTCTCTATATGGTAAAATATATGAAGAAGTCTTGATTACATGAATATCACTTGACTCAGAATACTTCAATGTATTTTGTTCACATTACCACTAAGCATATTATCAGTAAACTATTAACTGACTACACAACACTATGTAATACGATGTACTTTTTGTTGAATTCACTGAAGTTCTTCCATTTATATACTATTTTTAATGGCATTCCGGCTTTAACATTCTGTGAGTCTTATAAATTTGACTCTTGAATGGCAAAATAATGTTAGTGTGTAGAAGGTTAACTTTCATTTATAATATAAGTGGTGCAGGGGTTCAACATTTTAAGTAAAAATATTTTTACACACTACCTCTCTCTTTTTTTTTTAAAGTTTTAACATCAGAACTTTTGGGGGAAAAACTACTTCAGGGCTTGACTTTTTGTACAGATTTTAACTGAAATACAGATTTATCTTGTACACGTTCATGGAAATGGAAATCAAAGCTGCTAGTGCTTTTTATTTTAATTATCGTGTTAAGGGTATCTGTCAATAGTATTTTCAACTAGACCTCTGACTCTTAAATTATTGGTGAAATAATTGATTACTAGACATACTGTAAAACCAATAGATCCTGGTTATACGATAAAATATCAGCTCATTGGTTGTCTCAATCAATTATTTCAAGTGCACCTTATTAACAAAAGTATCAGTGGATCCAGCATAAAATTTTGTAGTACTAAATGTCAAGCCTCACTGTGAATTTTGTTCTGTATCTTAAGTAAATTTATGATAATGTTCTCGAGCTATCAACAAAATATATGTACTTTTGTGAGCTATGAATTTTCTAATTAAATTTTACATGCTATAACATGATTTTTACATGAATGATACTTTGTTTATAACTATCAAATGTCAGTATTTTACTACAATTTTATAAAGTGTACATTATCACTAAATGAACTTTGATTTTAAAAATCAAATTAGCTTTAGTTGTATGTTATTTTTTACAAATAAAGATAGACTTGTATAAAGGCTACTTTCTTGTCTGAAGTTATATGAAAAGCTGCCCACGCATACCAGGTGCCCATTATATCATTATATAAAATAGGTAGGGAGAAAAACCCCTGAATTTTTTTTTTTTTTTTTTTGAGACGGAGTCTCGCTCTGTCGCCCAGGCTGGAGTGCAGTGGCTGGATCTCAGCTCACTGCAAGCTCCGCCTCCCAGGTTCACGCCATTCTCCTGCCTCAGCCTCCCGAGTAGCTGGGACTACAGGCGCCCGCCACCTCGCCCAGCTAGTTTTTTGTATTTTTTAGTAGAGACGGGGTTTCACCGTGTTAGCCAGGATGGTCTGGATCTCCTGACCTCGTGATCCGCCTATCTCGGCCTCCCAAAAACCCCTGAATTTTAACAAGATCCTTGCTTCCTTAACTTTTAATTGGTAAAAGATGAACCCCAAATTGTATGTGCACTTATTGCAACTGTGTATGACCATATGGCTGTGGGTTGGAAGGTAACTTGTAAAATGTAGTTAATTCTGATAGTGTGAAAGGTTATGCAAGCTATTGACCCAAAATTTTCTTTAAGACTATTTGAAACTAGTTTGTAATGTGACAGCTTATCTTCTGAAATTCAAATTCACTTATTAATACTATCTATATAGTATGGCCTATGTGGATTGAATTCAGTTTATACTGAAAAATTTAAAAGATCTGAGAACAAGGCCAGGCACGGTGGCTCGTGCTTGTAATCCCAGCACTTCGGGAATCTGAGGCAGGCAGATCACAAGGTCAGGAGTTCGAGACCAGCCTGGCCAACATAGTGAAACACTGTCTCTACTAAAAATTAAAAAAAAAAATTAGCTGGGCGTGGTGGCAGACGCCTGTAATCCCAGCTACCTGGGAGGCTGAGGCAGGAGAATCACTTGAACCCGGGAGGCGAGGGTTTTGGTGAGCTGAGATCACGTCACTGCACTCCAGCCGGGGCAACAGGGTGAGACTCCGTCTCAAAAAAAAAAAAAAAGAAGAAAAAAAAAAAAGGTCTGAGGAAAACAACAACCCTTCCTGAGCCATTTCTAATCCCAAATTAGCCACCCTGTCACTGGCTTAGTTGATCATTGCACTAACTCTTCTGCCAACAAGTTTAGAGGACAATAGGACAATCCTAATTCCTTCCCTCCAAGTTAAAAACACTGGAAATCCCCTGAGTATAAAGGGAACATCATGCACATAGACCTCTTCACACCTTTGGTTGGGTTGCATTTGGTACCCGATATTCATCTCTGGGTTTTAGGTCCGTGAAACGATGCAGAATTAAAACATCCCTTTCATTCCCAAAAAATGACCCCAATGCAATTTGCATCCTAGTTTCCAGTGCTGAATAAGAGCCTGACAAATTTGATTTTGAGGGAAAACTAAAGTTACAGAAATTTATCAAAAACCAAACCTCTCTGTCCTGCCTTTAGGTGCTCAGGTGTTTAACAGCAACTGATAGAACCACTTTTGATTGTTTCCCTTCTTTTAGTTTGATGCAGGATTTAACTTGGAAGTATGTACACCAGCGACTTGGCAGCTGAGTTCTAAGCACAATTTTGGGAGTGTTTTGCTTTTAAACTTGGAAAGCCTTTGTTTTTATCTTGTGATGGCGTATCGTGGTGATGGTGGCTGTTATCTGTAGGGTAAAGCAAAACCCAGTGCCTCCTAGCTATGATCACATAACATGCTACTTAAGTACTGTCAGAAAAGATATTTTGGAAACCAAAATAAGTCTTCATTGCCCAAAGGAAGTATATGTGCAGTCAAATGATTGTCATTGGGTAGATGTCTGGGCATTAGAAGGTAAATATAAAGGAAATTAATCGGTTAAAAGATCCTTAATATGTAGTAATCTACCAAATTCTCCCCTAAAAACAAGACTTAGATAATATTTTAAAAGCTAATGTGTTTATCCAGTTGCTTTACAGCACAATTGTATTTTATAAGTTAATATTAAAATTCAATGGAGTTTGTATTTTATTTACAAGCTATATTTAGGTGTTTTTCCATTTATAAAAGCTCTCTTTTGGGAATGAAGTTCACTCTAAAAGTAGTATTCTCTGTGTAATAGAAAATAAAGAAAATTTAATACCCTTATTATCTAGTTCATTATAATCCCAAGGGATGGATAACAAGATAATACAGTATAAGTATGTAAAGATAACTTTTAAAAAATAATTTTCAATCGTATAAATAATGTGCAAATTCGTTCTCCATATAAAAAAAAAGTACAGAAAAAGCTGAAGTGTTTTGGCAGTACCATGCACATTTATCCATACCGTATTCTGTTACAAAAAGGAATTCTGGCTTAAAATAAGAGTGACGATAATTTATAATCCAAATTGGGACACTTTTGAGAATGAATGGGTTTGCCATGAACTATGCCAGTAGAACAGGCTCGGACCGGATCTGTCTTGGTAGATTGCAATATGGGTCACCCTATTATAGGGGCTCTCAAAATTGTTCTTAAAAAACTGCAATACACAGTGAGAAATGCATTGAACACTATAATCCAGGACGTG